CCCCTTAGCTCAGTTCGTTTGGGCAAATGTGAACACGGCAATCACGCTCGGATCTGCACCAAAACAATCAGTCCGAGATCGACTGAACGAGGTGGGCTCGGCTCGATTGAAAACAAACTCTGGAGAGGTTCGGTTATAGTGAGAAAGCAATCCGATCTAACGGACCAACGAACCAGGCTATATCACAATGTATAATGGGTAATTACGTAAGTTCCGTGAAAAGCATTAGCTTTGTTGTTTTGCTAATACTTCAAAATGAACCTGTGAATGTCTGTGGGTGAAGCACGTCTTCGCCATTCAAAATAAAAGCGCACTTTTTAATTTTATAATCTCTTCTTCCTAGTAGGTGCATTTTAAAAATGTTTTCCCGATGAATCCTGGACTCCTGCTCAAAATTATACATTTATATAATGACAGCTACCAAAAAACCCAACAATAAGCCCGCAAAGCTGTTGTCATTCCATCCTGACGGATGACAGCTGTGACAGCTAGTGGAATCCCAGAAAATAAACCGTGGAACTTTGACAAATGAGAGAGTAGTTTACTCGCGCGTGACTTGTATTAACAAATTTGGTCCGCTTAGAAACTTTGCCATGTGAAAGCGAACCACACCAAGAATAAAAAGCAACATTGTAATAATTGTAATCCTTGTTTTGGAACAAAGCAATCGATCTACAGGTGTGAAAGCACCCTAAAAAACAACAACAACAACAAAAAACTAGTTTATTCCCATTGTACACTACATGATTTTCACGACTGACCAATATCTGCAGACTGGCTCTGACTTCTGGCAACAAGCGCCGACTCCTCCAGTCTGTGAATCAGGGAAAATCTCTGGGCAAAAGTTGTGTATTGCAGCCTAATGAGATTTCTTTTTTTTGGTCTAAGGGGGAAATAAATATTCCGTTCTGTTATCTCACCTTCCTACAGGTGGCTAGCATCCTCTGTTCCTCTTTGGCTGAAGTGATCATAGGAATGTGACATCCCCTGCAGACATCCCTCCATTTCTGCATCAACATCAAACAAGACATTAGTAAGTGAAAGTTAGTAAGCTCAAAGAAGCATTCGACTTCTCTATAGAAACATGCTATTTTGGACCAACACTGATGATACAGAAACACGGTCCAGTGGATCCTCTAACCTGTAATGTGGTGAGGCAGTGCTGCACAAGACCCTGGAGCCTGTAGTACTGCGCCTCCTTCAATACCTCCTCTAGCTCCCGTGTGTTTTCCGGCAAAGGAACCGTCCCGTCCCGCAGGAAGTTCAGCACCAGGGAAAAGTGTCTCCCACATCTGTCCAGCACCACCCAGCCTTAAAAAGCAAGTGAAGACTCATTTAAATACACATCTCTGATCTAGTTTCTGCATCTATTATAGCAGTATTATAGAAGTACTTGACCAGAAAAAGCTGTACTGGAGCTGATGTCATGCTACGCCACCCTTCTTTCACACTCTACCATTTTCTTTTGTTTTGCTTTGTTTTTTGAAAGAAATTAATACTTTTATTCAGCAAGAATGAAATTGCTTGAAAGTGAGAGTAAAAGGCATCTATAATGTTACAAAATATTTAGATTTTAAATAAATAATGTTCTTTTAAACTTTCATTAAAAATCCTGAAAAAAAAATATCAAGGAGCACAACATTGATAAAAAAATAAGAAATATCTTGATCAAGTCTGTGTATAGAATGATTTCTGAAGGATCATGTGACACTGAAGACTGGAGTAATGACTGAAGAAAATTCAGCTTTGCCATCAATAAATTACATTTTAAAATACATTAAAATAGAAAACAGTTATTTTATATTGCAGTAATATTTACTATATTTTTGATCAAATAAATGCAGCCTTGAGGCATTAAACCTTACAAACCCCAAACTTTTGAAAGGTAGTATTCTCATGCTTTTTCTTACCCTCAGAGTCTATGGTGACCTCTGTGCTCCCGTCACAAATACTCCTGAGCAGACTGTCCTCCTTGCTGAGCGTCTGGACTGTGGTGTAGTGGAGAGTTCCCCCCACATTGAGCTTCACATACTTACTCCCCGCCAGGCTCCTGCCGGCCTTTTCTTCCCCAACGTGGCTGGAGGGTGATGCAGCAGAACCGGACTTACCAACCCCAAACTTTTGAAAGGTAGTATTCTCATGCTTTTTCTTACCCTCAGAGTCTATGGTGACCTCTGTGCTTCCGTCACAAATACTCCTGAGCAGACTGTCCTCCTTGCTGAGCGTCTGGACTGTGGTGTAGTGGAGAGTTCCCCCCACATTGAGCTTCACATACTTACTCCCCGCCAGGCTCCTGCCGGCCTTTTCTTCCCCAACGTGGCTGGAGGGTGATGCAGCAGAACCGGACACAGTCACCACATTCCCACAAGATGAACCAGATGCCTCGGCAGACATCAGGGGAGTAGAAATCAAATACTACTTATTTGCTGCCTAAAGATATAAAGCACACAAATACAGAGAAGACAGAATTTCAGTCTGGTTGTTATGAGATGTCGTTATGCACAGTCATTCTGAAATGCAGTGGTTAAGGAATAGTTCATCCAAACTTGAATACTTCCTTCTCATGCCATTCCAAACCTGTATCATTTTCTTTCTTCTATGGAACACAAAAGGAGAGTTTCTAAAGGAGATACTTGTTTTCATGAATGTAATGAAACTGAATTAGGACTGGAGCTGTCAAGCACCCAAATTACAAAAAGCAGCATAAAAGCATCACAAAAATGATACACATGAATCATGCACTATATTCCAAGTACATATTCTACAGTAGCTTTGTGTGAGATCAAAATTTCAGTCCGTTATTGACTAAAAATCTGCAAGTAGCAATGTCCAATATGTGCACAAAATTGTTCTTTCGAGATTCTAGTCAGATCTTTTAAATCAGTTGATCCAGTTAATAAAACTGGTCTGAATGCTTCATTTACTAACTGAACTGATCCAGTTCTTGAGTTCAACTAAAATAGTTTCCCACTGGAGGGCAACATTTCCAGTGAAGAGCATCCGTTTATATGATTTCAAAACAATCATATGGTTTCAAAAGACTTGGAATACAGCACACAAGTCATATGGATACTTTTATGATGCTTTTAAAAACTCTTTTTATCATTTTGGATGCCTGACAGCCCCAGTCCTCATATGAAAAACTGTCCAGAATATTTGTGTAATACACAAAATATCTTTTGTGTTCTACTTACTTACTTTAGAGACAAATTACACAAATAATATCAAAATATTATTTTCTGTCTGAACTATTCATTTAAAAAGAAACTTAGCCAGTAGGACATCGAAGCAATCTCTAGTGATTACTCACATGTACAAAAGACAAAGTTTTACAAGAGCAAAATAAACCAATAAATGTTGTGACATCTTCAGAGATATGAGTGAACAAGATGTCAGTACACCGTTATATACAGTCATAAACTGTGCGCAGCTTATGTGACAACGACTGTAACTGTTTCCGAAAACACAAACAAAGACAGCATCCAAAAAGTCAGAAACATAACATATGAAATATAAAGCAATGCTTTTAGCATCTGTCATAGAGCATCCAAAGATCTCACTGGGGCATACCTAAAAACTAAAGCATATGGGAAATATAACACCCATTTAGTAGTACTCTGAGGCTTGTGAATATCTGTCCACACCACTGGGGAGGCCACAAATGTGTTTCTGTACTGATATCAGAGGAAATGGACAGAATTAGGTCAACACATTCAGTATGCTCTTAACTCCAGCTGAGAGATCTCGCTAATCCTCGTCTAGACCACACCAAATGTATTCCCCACCATTCACTAGTCATTTAATAACTTCACAACTGGCGATTAACGGGAAACACATCTACATAACGTGTCTAATGAATATGATGTCTGTCTCTTATATTGATAAGCTTATTAGCCCCTGAGCTAGCTCTTGATAACATTAGTGTGGCTGTCAACGAGCAAACACTCACCGAGCTGGGTCCCCGAGATAAGGTGCACAAAATATAAAGTATTCGCGGCGGACTGTTACATCTATAACACGAAGCCTGCCGTGATTTTTCACCAAATCATATTTTCCTCTGTTGTCTTGCAGCACGACTGTCTTCTTCCTCTTTCTTGCTTGCTGTGGGTGGACAATGGCTGCTTCCCCCCGCGAGGAGTCTTTCGTTGACTGATTGGTCCACATCAACGTCAATCAAGAGAGTCAATCCCGGTCCCGCCCCCAATAACAGAACAGCAGTGAAGCGTGTCTGAATTCAGCCAATCGTAAAAGGGCAGTTTTATTAGGTCAATGTTTTCTTCTATAACACAAAAATTTAGTTTCAATTTTAAAACATTCTCTTCTGTCTTGGGAACGTGAAATACGTAAATTAGTGTACCGTGTGATTGTGTATACACACACACAAGTATGTAAATGTTTGTATGTGTATATCTATATGATTGTGTGTATATATATATATATACACAGTGGTGTGAAAAAGTGTTGGCCCCCTTCCTGATTTCTTATTTTTTTGCATGTTGTTGTACATTATATACATACACACACATAAATTCAATATTTTGGCTAATGCAAGAAATACCAGTATGTATTATCCATAAAGATTTCATTTATGAAAGACACATTCACCATCCAACAGAGAATTTTATTTAATCTTAAATCTCAACAAATAAATGTCTTCATGACAAGTATATTATGTTGATAAATAAATAACAATCAAGTAATACTATAATGCAACAAAGCCCTCCACAACATGGGCTCTGGTAATGGCACAGTGGAAAAGACGAAACTCACTGCATATTAACAAGAAACCATGAGATAAACAAAAAAAAAATGCAATTTATAAAAAAGCATTTCAATTCGACTACTGCAAGCAGTTTTTTTCTGTATATATTTTCCTCAACATAGTGCATATGCAACAACATCAACTCTGATAACAATGACTGTAAGTATACTTGATCATGAATCTTAATGCAATTTATAAAAAAGCATTTCAATTCGACTACTGCAAGCAGTTTTTTTTCTGTATATATTTTCCTCAACATAGTGCATATGCAACAACATCAACTCTGATAACAATGACAGTAAGTATAATTGATCATGAATCCTAAGCTGAAGCGGTAAAATATACAATCGTTGCGTGCCGTAATCAAGAGGACATTCTGCTCCTCTGAAACATGGTCATTCAACATCAAGGAGAAATAGATTCTTAAGAAACAGCAAAGAACAATATGAAATGCTGGCATTGTCCTCATTTTACATAATAATGTGAGAAATACTATGGCAACTAGTGAAACGTGAAGTGACGTCACATTATGGGATGTATTTTGGCACTGAATCTGTTTGTACACTCAATATTCAATCAAAATATTTACATTCAATATGTTCTTGTCATCATGTATATGTATGTGTAAATGTGTGGCCATGTGTCTGTATACAAATATGGGAACATGAGAGTATAGTTTTCATGTTTCAGATTATATATATATATATATATATATATATATATATATATATTTGTGTACTTATCGTTGTCTCACTTGTGTCAAAGTCTCTCTCTTCCTCTCTCCCTATTCAATTTCTTTCTTTCTTTCACTCCATCACTTTACAGTCCTTAAGGCACCAAACCCTCTGTTATAAAACATGCCTGACTGTGGAAATCATACTAACAATACGTACTTACAACTTTTTTGTTGTTACTATCAGTATTTCATTACTCTAATGTACATATACAGCCAATAACATACACACACATGTAAACACACGCTAACATACTACACAGACAACTGCATAAACTCTTGATACGTACTTACATCAGTGAATCGACCGAGGGAGGAGAGAGAGACTGTGTAGAGTGGTATTTATGTGTTGTAATTAATTGAATAAAACGAATGAATGTCTTGCAAAGAGAGACAAATAACAGTATCCTTCCTTTTCAGTCACCCAAATTTTGGATTCATTTGCAGACTCCTGTCTCAGATGGACACCTCATACTCTCGTGTGTCCTACAGTGAGAGAGATAAACAAAACGCATGTTACTAGCAAATACGAAAAATCATCATCTAAAGCCTAGCAGTACTATCTAGTTTTTGAAAATCTTTAATTAAAGGTGGGGTAAGCGATTTTTCAAAAACGCTTTAGAAAACTGATTCGGGCCGACTAGCAAAACAAACTTGTAGCCAATCAGCAGTAAGGGGCGTGCACAGGATGGACATTAGCGAGCCGAGCTACAGAAAGATAGAGATGGCGGATAAAAAAACAAAAGAGGAAAACGAGTAAAAAATCTAAACGACGATGGGGGTCGGTGATGCGGTGGGCAAGTGACGTAACCAGTGTTGCAGCTTAACACCGGTATCACCATCAACACCGTCTATCGCGGCAAGCCTAATCCAGTGTATATATATCTATGGTGTAGACAGCATCACTGATTATAATGAGTTCTATAGTATTTTGTCGCACCGCGCCACTCGCGTCCGGTGTAGACACAGTGTAACACTGGATTTGCTTTGTTTCACAGAACTAATCATTGCCTGGGTTGCGTACGTATGTGTGGGGCGAAGCTATCAAAATAGGGGCGAGACCCTTTTGGGGTAGGGGCGTGTTTGTTTTGGTGATTTCAAATGTCAATATTGGCTACCAGAAATCGCTTACCCCACCTTTAATATAATATAAAACAGATAAATCGACACTAAATACAACAAAAAAGATAGAAACCACCCTTTTTAATAAAATGTGTATGATGACGCAGCAGCATCTGCACTACCGTTTAAAAGTCTGGTGTCAGTATGATTTTATTGCTTTAAAAAAGAAAACAGAAACTAACACTTTTATTAAGCAAAGATGCTTTAAATTGATTAAAAGACATTTATGACTGAGCTTTCTATTAATCAAATAATCCTGAAAAAGCAGGATTTTCACAAAATAAAATTTAAAAAAATTGTTTTCAACATTGATAATGATAAGGAATGTTTTTTGAACAGCAAATCAGCATATTAGAATAATTTCTGAAGGTTCATGTGACACTGAAGCCTGGAGTAATTATGCTATGTAAAATATATTAAAATGAAAAACAATTATTTTAAATGTAATAACAGTAAAATAACAGTAAAATAGAAATAATAGTATCTCACAATATTTCTGGTTTTACTGTATTTTTGATCAAATAACTGCAGCCTTGGTGAGCATAAGAGACTTCTTTCAAAAACATTAAACTAGGGATGCACCTATACCACTTTTTCCAGTACTCGCCCGAAACGGATACTTTTATTTTTGGTACTTGCCGATACCGAGTACCAATACCAATATTTTCATTGCATTTGTACATTTTTTAAATATTGGGTACAGAAACCAAAAGAGTATGTATAATGTTAGTTGGTTAACTTAATTTATCAAATAGATACAGTCAAACCAAAATTTATTCAGACACCTTCAACATTTCTCACATTATCACAGTTTATTCGCTATAGTTAAGAAAATGGTAATAAAATATGACAAGAACTCAGAGTTAAACTGTGTCAGAACAAATTCAGCTTGATAATGTTAGATAACTTTGATAGAAAGGTATGTAATGGATTACATTAAACCAAAATTTATTCATACAGCTGTCAATATTTACACAACTATCAATACTTAGTCTGGCAACCCTTAGCCTTAATGACAGCCTGTAGTCTCCTGGGCATGCTGTCATCCAGCTTCATGAAAACCTGAACTTCAATTTTTTCCCAGACTCAGTCTGAATTATTTTTGGTCCCAAATGTGTATAAATTTTTCTGGTAGTCCACTGTATGAAGAATTTTTGGGTATAATATGTCACAGTTTACTTTATTTTGCTATCCTCACTTACATAAATGAACTATAGTGTCCTGCACCCACTAGTAAAAAAATATAAAAAATTATATCTGGTCTCTGAATAATTTTTGGTTTGACTATATCCATTCCAGTGATGTCTGTGAGAAAGGGATTGGATTGGATTTCAGGGTTGGAGCTGAACTCTGCAGGACTGCAGCTCTCTAGGACCGAACTTGCCTACCCCTGACCTAGTGGAATTTGTACTTACAAACTGTTAGGATGTGTTCCTGAACACCAAGAAACCAAAGTAATGTTCACACATTGATTTTCTCTTTAGGGAATCATAGTCTGTTTGCTATCTTCGATCTTGCAGATCTTCCAGCACAGCATTATTTTTATATATAGAAATATGTAATTACACTACCATTTAAAAGTTTGGGTTTAATGTAGGGATGCGTATCGGTATCGGGCCCGATACTGGGCTCCTGTACTCGTACTCGTACTCGTAAAAATGTCCCGATACCAAACGCCGATACCATACAGCATGTGATAAGTACCGACAACAGACAGCAAAATGGAGTTATTAGAGATTAAAGATGTCTACGAAGTATATGTATGCAATGAATATAAAACATTCAGTATTAATGCCTGTATTGCTGATTTGCGCCAGCCGCTAAGCAAATCACGCTGAGTGGACTGCCTATAGCCTTAGTAATCCTGAAGACATTGATTAGCTTGTTCAGGTGTGTTTGATTAGGGTTGGAGCTGAACTCTGCAGGACTGCGGCTCTCTAGGACCGAACTTGCCTACCCCTGCACTAGGTGAGCATCTTACCCCCGCCTCATAGAGAGGGTTGTTAAAGTCAGACTCCACCGTTATGGGACTGTAGGAGTGGGTGTGAGAGAGAGACTTCCAGAACAACGGTTTCCACTGCCACCTACACACACTGAGAGAGACAGGAAGAGATGACGAGAGAGGTGTTAGTGCAGAAGAGCTAAATAAGGAACAGCTGTGAAGGAGGTTTTGACAATCAGGGAAAATAACTGAATTTTAAAGTCAACAGGAAATAGTGCTAGCAAACCGTTATGCTTTAGTAAAGGTATATATTTCAGAGTCAAATGCAAGGCAGGATTAATTTTATCCATAGGGAACTGGATTAGGAAATTGTGGAATGTGGCCACTCCAAGCTATCTATCTATCTATCTAATTTCCTGACCAAGAAGCAACAATTACCTTTTCTCTGAAATAAGGTTCAATATTATGCAAAATAAGAAAAAAAAATCCAAAGATGATCATTGTAATTATTTACTAGCAATTTCTCAGTGAAAATTAAAAAAAATAAAAAATTATTAAAACAATTTTTCCAAATGTTTGTTCAGTGTAATAAGAAAGGTAATAGGGCCAATTTTGATTTCATGTTAACTTTAACACAAACCAAAATCATTCAGAAACACAAGCATGCCAAACTTACTTGGTGTAGTACATGTAGATTCCACCAATAAGAAGGATGACCAGAATGATTGGCAGGATAATAGCCAATGCAATGTTCTCACTCAGCATTTGATGAGAGGCCTCTAATGACTGAGAAACTGCAAAGAGTGGAAGTTAATAACATGAACATCATTATGTGACATAGTGGGCCAAATGATCAAATATGAATAGTTCTTAACAATGATAACCAACGTTACCCTCCAATTTATGATCATCCAGTAGCCCTTCATAGGCCACTGCAAATAAATAAAACATGATATTTTCAAACTCTTCAGATAGAAATGCCAACTCGCTATGTATTAGACTAGTTCACTTCCACATACCTTTACAGAAGGGTGGTGGGCTATTCCACTGAGAGGGGTGTCCTGGGACACAGTTGATGATGACTTCCCCAATGAGCTCATAACCCTCATAGCAGAAGAAACGCAGTGTCTCACCTGCCTGGTAACTGTGCTTGTACAGAGTCTGGTAACCATTGTCAGGCACGCCAGGGTTTGGGCATGGATCATATTTTACTGTTCAGCAGACAAATAGAGGGCAACATGGTTCATTGATGATTTATAGGTTAATACATTAGAGAGAAATCTTCACTGGTACTTGGGACAAAATATTTAGCTGTATCTGTAATGTTTTATCCTGCATGTACTAGCATTCACAAGTTTGGGGTCAGTAAGGTTTTGTTCAAGCTTTTGAAGTCTCTCATGATTACCAAGCCTGCGTTTATTTGATCAACAATACAGTAAAACGGTTATCTTATTAAATATTATTATCATTTAAAATAACTGTTTAAAACATTTTTACAGTGTAATTTATTCCTGTGATGCAAAGCTGAATTTTCAGCATCATTACTCCAGTCTTCAGTGTCACATGATCCTTCTGAAATTATTCTAATATGCTGATTTGCTGCTCAAGAAACATTTCTTAAAATGATCAATGTTGAAAACAGTTGTGCTGATTAATAATTTTGTGGATTTTTTTACAGCATGTATCTGAAATCTAAAATTTTTAATTACATAGTAAATGCCTTTACTGTCACTTCTGATCAATATAATGCATCCCTGCTTAGTAAAAGTATTAATTTAAAAGATCTTACTGACCCCAAACTTTTGAAAGTAGGGTATGATTTAGTCATTTAACATTATTTAAGACCTCATTAAGATTGTCAATTGATTAAAATCTTTAATTATTTTTTTTATTTCAATTATTGTTGTTGTATTTAATCATATGCATGAATGCATTCATTTTGACAGCCATACTTATTTATATTAATCAATTTCAAAAACCTCTGAATTAAATCTATACAGAATCAAGGGGGAAAAAATCAAACACAATCCCCCACATACCTCATCATGTGCACAAAAATAACATGTACTCACAGACACACTTTGGGCTGCGGTCGCTCCATTTGGGCATGCCGGTGTCTCTGCCATGGCAGGAGATCTGGTTCGGGCCTTCCAGCTGATAACCTTGGTTACATGTGAAGCGTACCACTGTTCCCACAGCGAAACCAGACTCCGGATGTACTGAGCGTGCTCCATTGACTACTTCTCCTGGATCAGGGCACTGCTGGACTAGAGGGACATCAAAGCCAGGAGAAAAGAGAGTGTGTACAGTATTAATCAAGTAATCAAACCAGTAAATGATGAGTCTACTAAATGATGAACAATCAAAGTGAACCATTAAATACATCAATGTGTTCCAAAGATAAACATAACACGGCTCACTTTTCACACAGGTGGGCGGATTGTTGCTCCAGGAGAGATCCCACTGGCAGGTGATGATATCAGAGCCAACAATGTCATAACCAGGCTGACACTGATAGGTTAATACACTGCCTCTCACCAGAGACGGGTGGGAGGAGCTGCTCCAGCCAAACTCAATTTGTGGAAGGACAGGACATGTGTCGTTTGGTTCCACCTCTGCAAGAAATAAAAGGAAGTGGCATCACTGTAAGCTAGAGATTTAGATTTTTTGGGGGAAAGTCGTGGCCTAATGATTAAGCGAGTCGGACTCGTAACCCGAAGGTTGCGGGTTCGAGTCTCGTACTGGCAGGGATTGTCGGTGGGGGGCGTGAATGTACAGTGCCCTCTCCCACCTTCAGTACCACAACTGAGATGCCCTTGAGCAAGGCACCGAACCCCAACTGCTCCCCTGCCGCCGCAGCATAAATGGCTGCACACTGTTCCGGGTGTGTGTTCACGGTGTGTGTGTGTGTTCACTGCTGTGTGTGTGCACTTTGGATGGGATAAATGCAAAGCACTAATTCCAATTATGGGTCACCATACTTGGCCACATGTCACGTCACTTTTTTTTTCACTTTATACAGGAAAAGGACAACCCCTTTGACGTTTACCTCTGTAGTGAATGAGGAAGCCTTGGCTCAGTATAAATGTAGAGTCATCGGGATCGCTCTGAAACTGAATTGTGACCTCTGAACCTCCTGATACAGCCCTGAACCTTTCTCTTGAGCCCAGGTACTGGCCAATCACATGTGACGTCAGATCATGGCCATCAAATAGAGTGAGAATGTCGTTATGACGGATGTTCAAACTGCAAGCAAAAGATAGGAAAATAGAAAATAAAATAGAATTAAACCTAAAACAGAATTAAGCACAAACTGTTTCAATCAAATAGATATACTTACATTTGTACATCCAGTTCAATGCGCTTGTCCTCGCTGACATGTATTTGCCACACACAGTCCTGCCCCTTAGAGTAGCTCTGTGGCCAGTCAGGTGACAACACAGTTCCCACTGGGTCTGTGAGCTCCCCGCCACACAAAGCTGAGAAGAGGAGAAAGAGAAGGAATCATATTAAAACAGTTTTCATATTATTAGGCCAGAGTGATTATATAAGTAAGTTCCTTGAATGCCTAGTAGGTACAATTTAAGACTCTTGTGAAATTTGCTTCAAGACGGAATGAAGGATCAGCTTTGAACCACTTTAACGTTAAAAGGATTATTTTCTTTATAATTCGCACTGAATTAATGAAGTAAATTGACAGTAAATTGACTAATATAGATGTGCAGTTTGTGAATGAATGACAACACCACCTTTCAGAAGTTTGAGGTCGGTAAGATTTTTCAATGATGAATTTTTCAATCCACCAAGGTTGCATTTATTTGATTACAAATACAGTACATATTGTGAAATAGTGAAATAATATTACAATTTAAATAATTGCTTTCTAATTTAATATATTTTTAAAATGCAATTTATTTCTGTGATAGCAAAGTTGAAATTTCAACATCATTACATCGTTACACATGACAGTGTCACATGATCCTTCAGAAATCATTCCAATATGCTGATTTGATGCTCAACAAACATTTGTTGTGCTGCTTAATATTTTATTTTTTCAGCATTCTTTAATGAAGTACAGCATTAATTTGAAATGAAATATTTTTGTAACAATGTAAAAGTCTTTACTGTCATTTTTTATTAATTTAATGTGTGCTTGATGAATTGAAGTATTAATTTCTTTAATAAAAACATATAAATCACCAAATTTATGAATGGTAGTGTACAGATATTGTACATATGTGATATGTCTACCTCTGCAGACAGGTTCACTCTCATTCCAGTGAGGGTCATTGGGGTCAACACACTCCATAACTCCTGAGCCTTGCTCCATGACGAAACCAGGAGAGCATGAGAAGGTTACTATAGTACCCAATGGGAAGGTGATGTCACTGCTGCTGAAATTCCCATGAGGCAGGTAAGGTTCATAACAGTGTTCCCCATCAAAGGCTGAAAGAGAAAGAAGAGGAAGGATGTTAAATTATTAAGTAATACTGCATTCATGTAACATATCAGTGTTTGTGTCAATGAAATTTTTAAAAAATTACAAAGTTTATAGGGGTATATGGTTTATAGTAATGAAATTTATTTTGTTGAATGTGTACCATGTTGTCTTACCCTCATAGCGGAGTGCCAGCAGCAGTGGGATGGAAGAAGAATCTGCTGTGAGCTCCACATAGAGAGACATTCCCTCACTCACGAAGCCTCGTTCTGGAACGTCATCCAGATCCGAGTCGAAGAGGAGCGGCGCTATAGAGCTATTCCCACTACGCACAATCAGCCTAGGAAAGGGATGAAGGGGAATGGAAAGGGAACCAAAAGAACATTAAAGGGGTCATATGATGCGTTTTCAATTTTTCCTTTCTCTTTGGAGTGTTACAAGCTCTTGGTGCGTAAAGAAGATCTGTAAAGTTGCAAAGACTAAAGTCTCAAATCCAAAGAGATATTCTTTATCAAAGTTAAGAGTCAGCCTCGCCTACCTAAAACAGCTCGTTCTAACATGCCCCCACATACCTACGTTGCTATGTGGGAAGATTTGCATAACGCCGCCCAAATGTTCACGCAAAGAAAGAAGGCGTAACTTTTATTCTCGCTGTAGTTTTTTTGTTTCCGCTGTCGTGTCGTAAAGACGCTGTGTGCTTCGTTGTGAAAGCGAAACTACTTTGTTTGGTCTTCCAAAAGAGGACGATATCTGCTTCGTCATGCCTAGAGCTGATCTGTGCTGGTCACTGAGGAAATACTACAACTTCGCGCTGTGGATCGCTGGATCGGCTTTCACCGTGGATGAAGCGGAGTCCAGCCCGGAGTTGTCACATGTCCTTCCGGATGCTCCTTCGTCGAAATCGCCAGCCGCGCCGTTCTCAAGCCCGCGCCTCTGCACACTCTAACCCTCACGCCATTCCTCACGCTAGCCCCCGGCCTCTGCTCACTGTAGGCACCCGTGTGTGATGCTGTTTCGTTGTGAAAGCGAAATTACTTTGTTTGGTCTTCCAATAATGGACACGACTAGAAATCAGTGATTAAGTTGTATTTACAACACTGTTCCAGAACAGTTCAATCCAAATATTCAGATGTGTCCAGCACATTTTATGGAGGACTGTTTCCTGGAAGAGTAGACTACAATGTCGGCTGTTCTGACTCAAAGACTGTAAGTACATCTTTTATATTTAAAGAGTTTTTATATTTTATATATTTAAAGCGAGTTTTTTTGGGCAGTGTAGAGTAGGGCTTGTTGTTTGTCATTTCTCCGATCACAAATGCAGACATGGTTTTATGTTTACGCAATGCAACGCGTAAAAAGACAGTATAAGTCATTATAATCCATAATTATGTCCCCACTGGATGCAACGAATGCCTCATTTATAATGGGTTTTCATGTTTTTGTCTCATCGCTCCGGCCGGACAGGGCATCAACACAGTATGGTGAGGGGCATAACATTTCCGTCACACACTTGAGGTATTCGGCCAATCACAACGCACTGGATAGCTGGCCAATCACAGCACACCTCACTTTTTCACACCTCGTTTCAAAAAAAGGGGCATAGAGGAGAAACAATAATGTACAGTATGTGGAAAATAATGTGTTTTTTAACCTTAAACCGCATAAACACATTTCATTACACCAAATACTGTTCCTTTTAGCAGCATCATATGACCCCTTTAAGAAAAGTGTGACATTAAAAGAAAGGAATGATCCACGAAAGACTGTAGTAGAAGAAGTAGTAGATCTCATTTGGTGTTCATTCATCAACAGAAAACTTCAGTATAGCTTGTACATTTTCTAAATATATACAGTATTGCAACTACATGAGCGGAGACAATAATAAAAAATAAGATACAAAATAAGTAACTTAATAGCCTACACAAGATTAAGAAAGACGTGAACTTACTTGTCATTGTCTTCATCAAGAGCCACCCTCTCAAAATGGAGGTGGAGCCTGTGGCTTTCCTTGGCTTCCAGCAGCCAATGGCAGCTCAGGTTGCTACCGCTGCTATGGTTACTTGCAGAGGGGAGGGTTGGGGACAGAATGCGTCCAACAGTAGCATTTCTAATCCACCCTCCACAAGATACAGCTTTAATATACAAAAAACACACGTGAATGTCTTCAAGCAACTGTAGATATTGAAAAATAATAAAATAACCGAACGAAAAGCGCAACCCACCCACACACTGGGGTTCTGGGGTGCTCCATTTGGGTCGGGTGGAATTCAAACAGGTTGCAACCTCATGACCTCTGACCTCAAATCCAGGATCACAATGGAAGTGAGCCTGACCTCCAGGATGAATATCAGTTACGGTCACTCCACCGCCCTCAGGGGAGAGGGGAAATGAGCAGGACAGGAGGAACGCTGGAATGGGGTTTCAAAAGAACAAGACAACTCTGTCATTCCTGTCATGTCAAAACTGAGAAATGACACTTGCTTACAGTACAGTGCAAAAGTTTTGGGGTCAGTTAGTTATTAAGAAAATAATCATTTTATTTGGCAAGGATGCATTGATTGATCAAAAGTGACAGTAAAGACATTTATAATGATAAAAGATTGCTAATCCAAATACATACTGTTCTTACTCATACTGCAGCACAACTGTTTTCGACATTGATAATAATACGAAACGTGCATTGAGCACCAAATCAGCAAATTAGACTGATTTCTGAAGGATCATGTGACACTGAAACAGTTATTTTAAATTACAATAATATTTCACAACTTTATTGTATTAATGTGTTTTTTAGCAAATAAATGCAGGCTTGGTGAGCATAAGAGATTTTTTTTTTATTAAAAAAATCTTACAACCCCAAACTTTTGAACGGTAGTCTAAATCTTTGTTACAAGAAAAATACCTTGATAGTGAAAGCTGAAAACACCATGATTGGCTTGCTTCAGGCTCTTATAGTGGATCTGCACTTGGTTGGTTGAGCTACGAATCACCTGACCTTTGCTCATTAGCGTCTCATTGGCTAAAAGCTCAGGCGCTGTCGCACCCAGCTCCAGAATGGTAAGTGACTCCTCCTTGGACAAGTTTACTTTCTTCCAGCAAAAACTGTGGACACCATTTTTTTAAATGAACGGACAGCCTGGGTTCAAGCAAACAAGAGAAAAAAGAAGTAGTAAGAGGGAAAGAAGGATAAAAATTTAAAGATTAAAGTTAAGGGAGATAGTAAGTCATATAGGTTGTGATCTTGAAGAACCCATGAAATCAAAACAAGAGTTTTGAGACTTTTATTTCACATGTTAGATTTGAAGTCAAATGTTCGCTCATAAAAGTTTATATATATACTGAACAAAATTATAAATGCAACACTTTTGTTTTTGCCCCCATTTTTCATGAGCTGAACTCAAAGATCTTAGCAAAAACTGTGGACACCATTTTTTTTTAAATGAACGGACAGCCTGGGTGCAAGCAAACAAGAGAAAAAAGTAAGAGGGAAAGAAGGATAAAAATGTAAAGATTAAAGTTAAGGGAGATAGTAAGTCATATAGGTTGTGATCTTGAAGAACCCATGAAATCAAAACAAGAGTTTTGAGACTTTTATTTCACATGTTAGATTTGAAGTCAAATGTTCGCTCATAAAAGTTTATATATATACTGAACAAAATTATAAACGCAACACTTTTGTTTTTGCCCCCATTTTTCATGAGCTGAACTCAAAGATCTAAGACTTTCTCTATGTACACAAAAGGCCTATTTCTTTCAAATATTGTTCACAAATCTGTCTAAGAGAAATGAACATTCAATTCACGGGCAAAAGCTCTGGTGGACATTCCTGCAGTCAGCATGCCAATTGCACACTCCCTCAAAACTTGCGACATCTGTGGCATTGTGCTGTGTGATAAAACTGCACATTTTAGAGTGGCCTTTTATTGTGGCCAGCCTAAGGCACACCTGTGCAATAATCATGCTGTCTAATCAGCATCTTGATATGCCACACCTGTGAGGTGGATGGATTATCTCGGCAAAGGAGAAGTGCTCACTAACACACATTTAGACAGATTTGTGAACAATATTTGAGAGAAATAGGCCTTTTGTGAACATAGAAAAAGTCTTAGATCTTTGAGTTCAGCTCATGAAAAATGGGGGCAAAAACAAAAGTGTTGCGTTTATAATTTTGTTCAGTGTATATATATA